ATGTCCCCAGCCCTTTTAAAAATTTTCTTGTGAGACAGGGTCTCACTAAGTTGCCAGGATGGCCTTGAATTTGCAGTCCTCCTGCCTCGGCCTCCCAAGTAGCTGAAATTACCGGTGTGTGCCACCACACCCAGCTGTAATCATTTTTTGTCGCAGTAATTTTCTTACCTTTTGCTCTGGTAAAAGGAGAAAGAGCTGAAGTCTAGACTCACCAAATAAGCAAACCAGCACTTCACAATTTAACAGCTAATCATGGTCAATAACATTTTCATTCTGGCCTAGCATGGTGGCACATGCTTATAATCCCAGCACTCAGGAGACTGAGGCAGGAGGGTAACCGTGAGTTCAAGGCCAGCCTGAATGCATAGAGAGATCCTGTTTCAAAACAAAAGTGACACTTTCATTCTGAAATTGGTTGCAGTTACATGAGAACACACTTTACAGTGCAGTCTCTCATCCCAGCCTGGAGCCCACTGGTTAGCAGCTGGATAAGCAGAATGCTTAAAACTATTCTTGGCCTGTAGCAGGCAAGGAGGAGGCCTTTGAGATACACAGTAAAGAACATGCCTCAGTCCAAGGGCACAAAAGACCTGTGCTTGAGCAATGTGCTGCAGTTTACCACTTTGGCCAGCAGGGTCCAGGCTGTCCCTGTGCTGGCTTAGACTCCTGGCGTCATCCCTTAGCAAGGTGAGAAATAAGGTCTCCTGTAAGCTTAAAGTCAACGACCAAGTCTCAGCTGGGATCACAAAGGAGGGACAGTGCTAGTGTCACAGTTTTCCCCGACAGGGGCACTACTGAATGGAAAGCACGAGCCCCTCAGACCCTGGGGCTTGGGCACTACCCCTACATGGGAACTGAACGGTTCCATCCAGCTGGCAGCTCCTGGGTGAGGCTGGCCAGTGGAGGACCAACTGACCTTCATCCCAGGCCTCAGTTTGCCCCCTCTGTTGAAGGGGACAGAGGCTTTCTGTAGGGTCTCCATTCCTGGTGTCCCCTGCTTTCTTTCCCTGAAGACCCTCTGGCTTACAGCAAAACCAGCTCCTACTCCCTGATCCAGAGCTGGCTGCAGAACCGCTAACAAGGGAGGGCCTGTCTCTTCCTGCCAAGGGAAGACAGCAAGCCCCACATGGGAGAACTGGTTCAAAGGGCTGGTTCACGATCAACCTGCAGGCAGGAGCACATTAAGAGTGTGGCACTAGGCCCACTGAGAATGGGTGGGCTTCCAGCACAATGGAAATTTCTAAGCTGGTAGCTCTAGCTCTGCGCAGTCTGGATGTGCTTCAGACAGGGTGTGCATGTCCAGGACATTCTGGGAACTGCCTCCACCTCGGCCCTGTGGGATCCTTTTCTTTGGAATTATCCTGCCTTTTGTTTTGAAAGAGTGTCTTATGAATGAATGATTTGAGCCCCCTCCCTGCAAGGCCTGGGAGACATGAGTTCCGTAGCCCTGCCAGATGGGAACATTGTGTTACCAACTTGAAGCTGCATGTCCAGCCCTGAGATGCTGGACGCCAGAGGAGTGGCACAATGCAGAACAGCCAACCAGTTGAAGGAATAGCACAGGGAATGGGATTCAGATAAATGCCTCATTCCAAAACAGTTCTGCCTGCTTCTCAGGCCCAGATGCCGGTAAAGAAGAGCACTTCCTCATTCCCCAGCCAGGGCCAGAAGAGGGCAGGAGAGAAACAGACAAACACACGTGCCCTGGCACGGGAGCACCCCTTTGACCAGAGACCATTGTAAGGACAAAGGAGCAACCAACTTCTGGGCCCTTAACTTGTTACTCATTAAAAGCACAATTCGTGTTTTCTTCTGAAACAGTGACTCAAAAGCTGTTTTTGCTAAATGGTAACTCTTCACTTGGGCCTACAGATATCCAGTAGGAAACTAAAAGCAGAACAAATCTTGAATTTCATTTTTGTATCATTTATTACCTTAAAACTCTGGATAAGGGTATATTAATCATTTAAGAAAAGTCAGCAAAAACAAGGTTTATCAGCCCTAGCCTGTGTCATCCAAGACTAAGGGTACCAAGATAAGAGTAACTAATTTTTTTAAAAAGTAACTAAATTTTCAGGATTCACAGGGACATCTGATTTTCAGCTTCTACATCCCAGGCCCTCCTGTCTTCCCCACAGCGAAGCCTGGAAGTCTTCTAAGCCTGGAATCACCTGGGCCTCAGGAAAAGCAGATCCTACCATGACTAAAACCACTGTAAACAAAAATAATCATTCTCCCGGAAACCAAATTGCCCTTTAACATGTGAGAATTTCTCCAGAGCTACAGAAACCAAGACAGACTGTGATTGACTGGATCCCAGCCCAGGAGAGCGCCTCAGGAACCTGGACTCCTGCTAGTCTGGTCCTCTGCACCAGAATGTGCTCCTGCCAGCTGCAGCCCTTTCCTTGTTCTCTCTTACTTTCCTTTGCTGAGGGACTGGCTTGATTTTTGTCAGCTCCTCAAGCTTACTTACCATTTTCTCTTATTTTCCAACTAAAGCTTTTTCCTGCAAATATGTGCATTAGTTTTGTTTTGTTTTTTTTGTACCAGGGATCGAACTTGGGACCTTGTACTTGCAAGGCAGGCGCTGGAACCACTGAGCTAAATCCCTGGCTCTATGTGCATTAGTTTTGATTTGCATTATCTCTAAATCAAGGGCCTATACTAGCTGGTGGCATCTTGACCTTCTCACCAGCCTCTAGAGACCAGCTTTCTGGTTGGTTCATGTTCCCCATCCTTCAACTCCAGGGCCCTGGCAGTACTTGCTGCTTTGTCCTAAGGTCCTTTCTAAGACCTGCAGCCCTATCATGGCCCCAACAATGATCTCATCTTGTTTGTAGGAAGAAAACAGAAGTGATAGGTCAGAAATGTCAAAGTCCCCTCTCCCCACACTGTCCTCTAACCTTGCCCCATTGTCCCTTGAGACTTGCCAGCTCCCTTCCTTACCTGCACTCATCCCCCTCCCACCCACCCACCCCCGTAACCCCAGAGATTTCTGTCACTGCTCACTCAGGCCTCCATGCAGCACTGACCAAACCACCAAAGACCATTTCTTTGGATAAAAAGGAAAAAGACTATTAAAAGCTAGCTCAGAGGCGAGAGAGAGGCATTCTAGTGTCACAAATCACCATCTCCATGAGTCCAGTGAGTAAGGAACAGAGGGAAGAGGCAATAAAATGAGACAACAGACAACTCCAGGCTTGCTGTATCCTACCTGCTCCCTGTGGAGCAAAGTGGACCCTGACATCTGAGGCAAGAGCCCACATATTTTGTCCATTTATCTGGACTAAAGAGAGAAGTGGGCGGTGGTTTGCTCCTCAGGGCTGAGGGAGTTTGGAGAAGCTGCTTATCTCAAAAGTAAAAAATTTTTAACTTTTAAAGTTCCAGTTTACTCTGCCAGTTACACTTCGATTGGCAGAAGCAGCAGGGCACATGCCAGCTGTCTAGACACAGCAGACTCACCCTGATTGATCCCTCCTGCTTCAAGGTCACCTGCTCAGGAGACACCAGCCCTCCTGGTCTCCCACTGGCTCTAGTGGTCATTCACACTACTGCTGCCAGCTCTAACATTCTATATCTCAAGGCTGGAGTCTGGGCTGCACCCTAGGCTCTCCCTGACTCTTCCTTCTGCTGCTCACTTGGGTTATAGTCCAGGCAGGACACTTCCCTGAGCTGGCATCCCTGTCTGCATCACATCTCCTCCCAGCTGCTCAGAAACTATCCCAAACATCGTCATCACATCTGCTCTGTCTTCAATTGTACCACTCCTTCTGTCCAGGAGCCTTTCCTACTTTCCCTCTACCCAGTGCCTCCACAGTATCCAGCAGGTCCCATCTGATTCAAAATTCCTCACTCCTCTCCTTGCCTTGACCTTCATATTGGACACAAGTCCCAACCTTCATTAGCCCCACAGAGCATTTGTCTGTCTGTCTGTCTGTCTCTATCTATCTATCTATCTATCTATCTATCTCTACCTATCTATCTACCTAAATTTTGTTTTTTAGAGTCTCACTATATACTCCAGGCTGGCTTCAAACTTGCAGCAATCCTCTTGTCTCAGCCTCCTGAGTACTGGGATGACAGGTGTGTGCCACCATGCCCAGCTCCCCCCCCCCCCCCCCCCGGTGCTGGGGATCAAACTCAGGACCTTGAGCTTGCAAAGCAGGAGCAGCACCACTGAGCTACATCCCCAGCCCTCACCCCCAGCTTTTTATCTGTTTGGTTTTTTTTTTCAGTACCAGGGATCGAACATGGGACCTTGTACTTTCAAGGCAGGTGGTGGAACAACTGAGCTAAATCCCTGGCCCTATCTTTTTATTTTTGAGATGAGATTTCACTATGATAGTCAGGCTGAACTTGAACTAGTGGGCTCAAGGGATCCTTGCACCTCAACCTCTCTCGTGCAGCTGAGTCTATGGGCATTGGCCACCACTTCCAGACAGACTCTTATTTTCTCTCTCTCTCTCCCCTGTCTCTCTCTCTGTCTCTTTCTCTCTCTTTCCTTTTCTGTAACAAGGTTTTACATTTATTAAAGATAGGAAAGAAACAGGCTCTGCAGAGCAAGTTCAGGCCAAGTAAAAATAGGAAAACAAGTACACTCTGCAGGATGAGAGGGGACCACTGTGCAAGAGAGAGCACAGTGACCCAGACTGTTATTTTTAAAGTGCAAATTCTGCCACATTAGATGTTCTCCCAAGTCCTAATGTGAAATCATTCCTACCCTGCAAGGTATAAGTGATCTGGATCTGGCCATCCACACCTTTGGTCCAACCAGCAGCAAGCTGCTGAAAACAGGCCTTTTGTGTATGTGTGTGGCACTGGGGATTGAGCCAGCACCTTGCACATGTCAGGCAAGCACTCTACTACTGAGCTGCATCTCCAGCCTTGCCTCTTTTTAAATTTAATTTTCTGAAGCATTGAATATAACAAATACAGAAAACAAACATAAAAGCATTTTGCTTATTTATTTACTTTTGCATGATGCTGGGACCCTAACCCAGGGTATCAACACATATGATGCACACTCTTCTGCTGAATTACATCTCAGCCTTCTCAGTCAATTATCACAGGTGAAACACTCCCGAAACAAACCCAAGAGGAGAGCTGCTACTGCCCTGCAATCTTGCACTCTTTGCTCTGTGGTGAGCAGTCACCCTTTCCTGCCCGGTCTTAAGGTAAGGTATTAATCACCTTCTTAATTTTCTCCATCTTTTTATCACCTCCATGACGCCTTCCCAAAGAACCCTTCTTCCTTACAGTTAAATACAAACCTACAATTAAGCTAGGAAAAGAGAACCATACCAGCTGATTTTTCAGCTCAGTATTTAAATTTTTCTTTTCTGTTTCTACTTTTCCATTTCTATCACCAACACTCAGCAACCCGTGTCTGCTTTTTTTTTTTTTCCAGTACCAGGGATCAAATTCAGGACCTAGCCCTCGTGAGGTAGGTGTGCCACCACTGAGCTACATCCCTAGCCCCAACAACCCATGTTTGCAAGATGTAAGTTCCTTATTTTTCTCCTTTAGATTAACATAAAAATGGATATATATATGCGGAGAGAGAGAGTGGTTTGTCTTTGTTGTACACATTTAGATAACATTATATATAATTTTCTGCATCTTTTCTCACTCATCTCGACATTGTGGTAGACCATCCAAATCAAGCAGTATTGTTTCAGTATCTCCTTTCTGATGGTGATGTAAAACATGGTCACCAATTTTTTGGTTCTCCTCTCACAAAATGTAGAATCTAATTTCCCTCTCCTTAAACATGGGCCAACCTTAGCACAATAGTTAACCGTGGTGCCAATTTGAATAAGAAATGCCCAGCTGATTGGCTTAGCACAGTTCTGGGTGTGGATAGCTGGTTTACTGAAGATGAAAGACCCACCTTGTGTGCAGGTGGCACCGACCAATAGGCTTGTAACCTGGATTGAGAAGGAAAAGAGGAAGGAATGCTCACTTCTGCTTCTTCTTCTTTTTTTTTTTTTTTTGGTACCAGGGATAGAACTCGGGACCTTGCACTTGTGAAGCAGACACCAGGACCACTGAGCTAAATCCCTGGCCCACTTCTGCTTCTTCTGAGGAACCCCAGTCTTTGCCATCACCTTGGACATCCATCTCTAGCCTTCCAGCGCAGACACTCCAGCTTCCTGATACCAGCTCGCTTGGGACTCCAGGTCTTTGACCTCTGACTGGATCCTCCACCTCTCCAGTGTACAGACAGCCCTTTTGCACTCTTCCACACCTGACTCTGCAGGCAGCCATTGTAAGTCTACATTTTAAATCCATATGTATAATATATTTTATATTAACTCTGTTCCTCTAGTGAGCCCTAATTGATACACTTAGTAACTTTATTTCTTCCCCCCTCCCTATACTGGGAATCGGTCTCAGGACCTTGTGCTTGCCAGGCAGGCCAGGTGCCACTGAGCTAAATCCCTGGCCCAAAAGTAACTTTGCTTCTATGGAAATGACACCATATGACTTCTGAATCTAAATTAACCCAAGAACAAGGCAGGCATGGTGGTGCACACCTGTAATTCCCAGCACTCTGGGAGGCTGAGGCAAGTGGATTACAAATTCAAGCACATCCTGGGCAATTTGGTGACTTAGCAAGACCCTGTCTCAAAATAAAAAATAATTAACTGACTAATTAATTAAAAGGGCTGGGGATGTAGTTCAGTGTGAAGGTCTTGGGTTCCATCCTCAGTACTGAAAAGAGAAAGAAAAAAAAAGAAGAGAGAAGGAAGAGGAAAAAGAGAAGAGGAGGAGGCTGCATAATAGCTTCCATGAGCTTTCTCTCAGGACACTCATTCTTGGACCCCTTCTACCCCAAGATGAGGCAGTAGAATCTGTGTTCCTTGAATCTTGCCCAAATGGTAGGTTTGTGAGCAAAATAAATAGTATTTTAAGCCACCAAATGTGGGGTAAATTGTTGTAGAACACAGGAACTAGAACAACGTGGAGGTACTAGAAGGTCCCCAACTCTGCTCTGTGCATGAGCGATCACCCTGCATTTTTTTTTTTACCCCACAACCCATGATGGAGCGATAGATGTCCTGACCATGATCATGTAGCTCACTTCTCAATGCTTTCATTTTTGTAGTGGGGATCTATTATGGCTTGTTCTCCCAAAGCCTCATGAGTCATATGTGGTGCATTTCGGAGGTGGCTGGATCTAGAGTGTGTGATACTGGGATTAATGATGTGATACTGGGATTAAAGGTGCCCCACCCTGGATGTGAGTGCTACCCTTAGGGTGAATGGAATATAAGGGACAGAAAGAGGGCTGCTGCCATTGCTTTCTGCTGCTGCTTTGCTATTTGCTGCTTGCTGCCTTCTGCCTGCCATGCTATGAACAGTTTCTGCTCTGCAAGGCCCCTGTGCCATTGCCACCCTGCCTTGGAGCTAGCCAACTATGGACTGAAACCTCTACAAACTGTGAACCAAAATAAATCTTTTCTCTTTTAACTTTGGGTGTCGGGTATTTGGTCTCAGCAATGAGAAAAGTAACTAAGACAAGATTCCAAGATTAAATGAGGATTGTAGGGCCCAAAAGTATATGTATTTTAATTTTATTTATTTTTTGTTTTTTCCGTACCAGGGATCGAACTCAGGTCCTTGCGCTTTCACAGCAGGCGGCGAAATCACTGAGCTAAATCCCCAGCCCCTATGTATTTTAATTTTACTGGTGTTTGCCAAACTGCTGTAGCTGGTCTTAATCTGTCAACAATGTTTAGAAGCACCCTTTTTTTCACATCTTGGAAGCAAGAATTGATGCACCTCTTTGTAACTTTTTTTTCCTCTCTTCTTGGTAGTGACTTATTTTATTGCTATTTTTTTTCCTTGGTTTTTTGAGACAGGACTTGAACTCACTACATATCCCAGGCTGGCCTCCAACTTGATCCTCAAGTGATCCTCCTGCTCAGCCTCCCAAGTGCTGGGATTACAGGCCTGCACCACCACACCCAGCTGCTACTCTCTCTTTTTTTTTTTTTTTAATTAGTAGACTTTATTTTTTAGACCAATTTTATGGACACAGCAAAACTGAATGGGAAGTGCACCGTTCCTCCACCCCCTAACCTGCGTATGTGCACAGTCTCCCTGACCACCAACACTCAGCACTGGGATGGGACACTCATTACCATCAGTGACCTGGCATGGACATAGCATTGTCAAAACCCAATGTGCATGGCATTCATCCTGTGTTGTCCATTGCTGAGTGTGTTCAGGCTGTGGTAGTAAATAAGCTGAGTAGCTTATAAGCAACAGAAATTCACTACTCACAGAGCTGGAGGTTGGGAAGACCAAGACCAAAGTGTTGAAAGGTTGTCTGGGGAGGGGTCCTTACCTTGTCACATACAGCCCCTTCTTGCCACATTGTCACATGGTTGAAGGGGGCACAGCAGTTCTCTGGGGTGTCTTTGATAAGGGAACTAATTCCATGCAGGAGGTTGAGCTTTCATGACCTAATAACCTCCAAAGGCCCTGCCTCCTAACACTGTCATGTTGGTGTTTAGGGGGAGGGGGACAGACACTCAGGTGATACCACATACTCTAAGGGTTTTTGACAAATGTATAATGACATATATCCACAATGACAGTATGCAGAATAGTTTCACTGCCCTAAAAATCTTATATGTCTTCAGATATGGTGACACACACCAAAATGCCAGCACTCAGGAGGCTGAAGCAGCAGGATTGTTTCAGTTCACCTGGGCTACATAGTGAGACCCTGACTCAAAAAACGAACAATAAAATCCTCTGTTTTATCTATTTTTCTTTTACTTTCCCTAGATACCTGGAAATCACTGATCATTTTTCTCTTTATAGTTTTGCTATTGTTGGATTTGTGTTTTGTTTTGTTTTGTTTTGTTGAGACAGGGTCTCACTGTGTAGTTCAGGCTGGCCTCAAACTCATGGCAGTCTTCCTGCCTCAGCCTCCTGATTTCTGGGTTTACAGGAGTGTGCCACCATGCCCGGCCTAGATTTGTTTTGAGACAGAAGTCTTGCTGTTTCCCAGGCTGGTGTTGAACTCCTGGGCTCAAGCCATTCTCTTGCTTCAGCCTCCAGAGTAGCTGGGACTACAAGCATGTGCCACTGCCCCTAGCTCATAGTTTTTTTGTGATTTTTTTTGGTACCGGAGATCGAACTCGGGTCCTTGTGCTTGCACAGCAGGTGACGAAACCACTGAGCTAAATCCCCGGCCCGCTCATTGTTATTTTTTACTTACATTTCCATTTCTTGTCTTCAAATGGGTTTGACAATTTTTTCATATTATGTGGCTTTTATGGCTGCCTACTAATACTTTTTTCTCCTTCTTTGCTAACAAACTCAAATTTTATCCATGATAGCAGGACTTCTAGCCCAAGCAATGGATCGATTCTAACTCATTTCCTGACTCCTCAATCTCCTTGCACCTAGGGGCCATCAAAGGTGACTCAGATTTGGCCAGTGAGAAAGAAGTGGAAGACTCCTGGAGGTTCTGGGAAGATGTCTGCTTCCTTGATAACAAAGAGAGATGTGGCTGGTGCCAATCTACTCCAGCTTTGAATATCTCTGTGCTGTCTGAGAGAAGGAGGCCATCTTGCAATGTTGGGGCCAGAAGCAGGGCAAAAGTCAGTGTATTGAGAATGGTGATGGAAGGATTCAAAGAGCCTAGGTGATGTGCAACTGAAGCAAATGGTGTGTCCATCAGAAAGACATGTAAAGGAACATCCACAGCGGCCATCCTCATGACAGCCAAACTAGAAACCCAGATGCCCTTCAAAAGACAAATGTGTCAATGTCAATATGATATAGTCATAAAATGAAATATTACATAGAAACAAAAAAGAGCAAACTATACACAATAACCTTACAGAAATAATATTAAATTTTAAAAGCCAGACATACTGGGCACTGTGTCCATAGTCCCGGCTGAGGCAGGTAGAAAACTTAAGCCCAGCTCATTTGAGATTAGACTGGGCAACATGATGAACCCTAAAAATAAACACAGAAAAACATATTGTGTGGTTCCATTTACATGAAGGTTTTTTGTTTTGTTTTGGGGGGTTTTCTTTGGTATCAGGGATTGAATTCAGGACCTTGCACTTGCGAGGCAGGTGTGGCACCACTGACCTAAATCCCTGGCCCTCCATGAAGTTTTTAAACAGGTGAAATTATGGCAGCAGAACTGAAAATAGTAATCACCTTTGCAGGAGAGATGGTAACTGACGGGGCGAGAGATGGCTGTCAGGGTGGGGAGTGCTCACTCTGGTGAGGAGGCAATCTTCTGCTGAAGATGTCCCCTCAGGAGCAGCCGAAGAGGGCTGGGATCTGGACCACACAGTGCCGTGAACTCCGTATGTCTCTCCATTGGCCCATTATCTTACTCTTTAATAATTAATATTCTATATTCACATCCCACAATAAGATTTTATAGGTTCCTCACCTGGTACAGATCCCAGCTGGTACTTCTCTTAATAAATTTATTCCTAAATATTTTATAGTTTTTGTCAATTCCTTCTCTCATTTTTATTTTTAGTGGCTTACTTGTAGCAAATGTTATTTTTGTTTTGTTTTGTTTTTGAGACAGGGTCTCATTATGTAGCTCAGACTGGCCTTAAACCCACTATGTACTCCATGCTGGCCTTGAACTCAAAGTGATCCTCCGGCCTCAGCCTCCCAAGTACTAGGATTACAGGCATATGCCACCACATCTGGCATGATGGTATTATTTTAATCTTTTTTTTTTTTGATACAGGTCTCTCTATGTAGTTCAGGCTGGCCATGAGCTCACTATGTAGTCTAAGCTGGCCTGGAACTTGCTGCTATCCTCCTGCTTTAGTCTCCTGAGTGCTGAAATGACATGTGTACTACCACACATGAATCAACTTGCCATTTTTATCAGAGGTATAGATAACAAATACAATATCACTAAAAAAAATAGCTTCTTTGGTGCCATTAAGTCATAATTAAATCTCTGGATTTGTACGAAGAGGCAAAAATTGCATTAAATCAATTTTCCTTAACCTTTGTCAATATATCTGGAATACCTACTGATGGAATTCCAGCTATGGTTGGCAAAAAAAGGAGGACTTGCAAAATGAATAATTATTCAGATGCCACCAACAACTCCTGTTTGATGAAGTATCACTGCATTGTATATCAAGAAAATTTATGCACAAAAGCTTTGAAAATAGATAATGTGTGTGTGGTTTTTTTTTTTGGTACCGGGAATCAAACTGAAAATAGATAATGACATGTAAATTTTCATCAAAACAATTTCAGAAGGCCCGAGGGACTGAATCACCAATTCGGGAGTTTCTTAAAGGCCTGGATGTTGATTATGGGAATATTGTTTACTTTTCTGAAGTAAGGTTGTCATTAGATGAGGTCCCCCAAAGGGGACATGGAGAGCTCAACTCATTCTACCTCCAGTTGGGTGTAGCGTCTGTCACTGAAAGGCATGAAAAGGCGTGTGAGGCAGAAAGAAGTACACACACAGATGAGAGTTCGGGTGCTCATGGAGTGAGGTGCTTATGGGTTGGGGGTTTTATGTGGTCTTGGGGTGTCCTCAAGATGGGTGGTCTGGGATGTGTGTTCTTGCTGTCAGGTCACCTGTTTGGTGGGCTACATACTAGGTACAAATGCAAATTATTTGCATGTGTTTGAAGTTTAGAGGTTGGATGCCCACTTCCTTGTGCTGTTTCTTTGAGGATAGGCACCTGTGGGATTTGAGAATCTGCAGGACTGGAGAGAAAGGGTAGGCTTGATGTACAGGTGAAAAGCCTGGGGAGGGGGCATTTCCCAGCTTATTGTAGCTTTAAGACCCTTACGGAAAAAATTCTTTTTTGAATGAGTTTCCTGGCAGGGAAAAAGGCATTGTAACCCTGGGTACCTTTGATTGTGTTCTGAAGCTGCTGTACCTTATAAAGTAAAATTTCAAGTCAGGTGTGGTGGTGCAGGACTGTAATCACAACACTCTGGGAGGCTGAGTCAGGAGGATCACAAGTTTAAGCCCAACCTGGGCAACTTAGTGAGTAAGCGAGACTCTGTCTCAAATTTAAAAAGGACTGGGCATGTAGCTCAGAGTGAAGTATCACAAATAAATGAATAAATATAAAATTTTAAAATTGTAGTTTTCCTTATATCTTTTATCTGATCTTTATTTTTTCTATCCTCTCTTGAGGCGATAAGCCATCATAAATTGTTTTAAAGAGGGCTGGGGATTTAGCTCAGTGGTGCAGCCACCTGCCTCGAAAGTGCAAGGTCCTGAGTTCGATGCCCGCTACCAAAAAAACCCCAACAAAACCAGAAAACCCCCCAAAAAAGTTGAAAAGATTTTATGGTTTGCAAAATGATATCAAGTCATTTTTGGAATCAAAAGGAAAATTTGTGCCAGAACTTAAAGATAAAAATGGCTCACAGGGAGAAAAAAAAAAAAAGGTTCACAGATTCAGCTGTTTTGGTAGATTTGACTGCTCATTAAATGAGTGAAACACTTGTCTTCTAGGTGAAAATTGCCTTGTCATGGGAATGCCCGGTGCTCACACAGAGAGGAACCAGCCCCTCACTCCCATGGTCTAGGTCCTCTGGGCCCTCTATGAAAGAATTCAGTCACCACAGGGGGCCACATGCGAGCCTAGGCAGAGGGTGCTATGAGGTGGATACAGACCCACACCTCCCAGGGCACTTCCGCGAAGGCATCTGCTCCAAGTGTGAGCTTTTTTTTGGTACCGGGGATCGAACTCGGGTCCTTGTGCTTGTGAGACAAGTGGCGGAATCACTGAGCTAAATCCCCAGCCTTGGACATCTTTTTATACACACACAAATTACTTCTGGGATTCTGGGAACCATGGTGATGATGATGCCAATCACTATTTATTTCTCTTAGGGTTACTTTGGAATATTGATATCTCAAAGATGTCTTCCTTGCTCCTTTCTGGTGGCCAATGATCCCTCAGGGCTCTTGGTCACGTAAGAATCTAAAGCAGGTCTCAGCCCAAGGAGGTCTTCAAAGAATGTTTGCTTTCCTGAAGGCCTTGTTGTGGAAACAGATGACCAGGTGGCCAAGTAGGGGAAGGACTGTCCACAGCATGTGACCCGAAGATGCCTTTGTGCTCTGTGCATGGCCTTAGATCTGAGACCTAACAAATGATTATAAATGTAATAAACAAACTGGAGAAAGCATGGAAATAGAGCTTTTGCAAATGGGAAGGAGAAGAAGAGTTGGAGGGAATAGGGAGTGATGAGAGGGGAAGGGGGCAAACAAAGAATTAAGATGTGTTATGTACATGTAGAATCCCTGCATGATAAATATAATCATTATGTACAGAAAACATGTACTGATTAAAAAAAGAACAAACATGAATACACCAAAGTCTTTGTTTCTTTACCTAACTAGCAATTAAGTGGGGGAGTGGCTCTCGCTCCTGCTCTTGGCCCTCAGGCCCACTAACGTCTAACAAACTTACCCATGCAGTTTCAAACCATAACAGTGTTTGAAACAAATTATGGCAAGCTCAAGATATGGCAAATAATTTAATGCAGGCTGTGTGTGTGGTAGGTACTTGGTATTTGTCTTCTCATTGCTGAGACAAAATACCCAACATCCAAAGTTAAAGGAAGGAAGGTTTATTTCGGCTTACAGTTTGTATAGGTTTCAGTCCATAGTTGACAGGGTGGCATGGTGGAGGAAACAATTCTTTTTCTTTGAAATAGGGTTTCAGTATGTAGTCCAGGCTGGCCTTGAACTCTTGGTGATCCTCCTGCCTCAGCCTTCCCAGTGCTGGGATTACAGGTGTATGCCATTACACCTGGCGAGAAACAGTTCTTGGCAAGCAGAAGGCAGCAAAGCAGTGAAGTAGCAGCAGCCAAGCCTGCCTTTATATTTCACCCAGGCTACCTGCCCTTTGGGTGCTGCCACTCACATTCAAGGTGGGTCACCCTTAATCCCAGCATCACCCACCCTAGATCCAGGTACCTCCAAAAAATCCCACCTGTGACTGCATGAGGCTCTGGGGGAACATCTAGATGCAAGCTCTTATGGTATTGAATCCAGCCTCTTTATTTATTTTTTATTGTGAGATAGGAGCTCCAACTTGCAATTCTTCTGCCTCAGCCTCCCAGAATGTTGGAATTACATGTGTGCACCACTACACCTGGCTAGTTTTATGCATTTTGATACGTTGGCTAAACATAGTCCTGTCAACAGCAAAAAATATGCAGCCTTGTTCTCCATTTCATTTTTGGGTTTGTTTTTGAGACAGGGTCTCGCTGTCAAACTCCCAGTAGTTCTGTCTCAGCTTCCTGAATGCTGGGATTGATTACAGGCATGTGCCACCACACCCAACTAATTTTTGTAAAATATTAAAAAAAATTTTTTTTGCCAATGCTGGGGATTGAACCCAGGGCCTATACATGTGCTCTCTCTCTCTCTCTCTCTCTCTTAAAATTTATAATAAAGAATAAAGGTCACAGAGCTTGAGAGGCTGAGGCAGGAGGATTGCTGTGAGTTTGAGGCCACCCTGGGCTACATAGTGAGACCTTATCTCAAACACACACACACACACACACAAAGGAAGTTTTATAGTTGTATCCATTAACTATTCATATATTTTATGTGTCACTCATGACAATTCCTCTTCACTGCAAAAGGCTGAAATCCAGGTGTCAGACGCACTCTTTCAGTCCCTTCAGTGTGCCCAGTGTGCTCTGTCCTTAGAGCCTTTGCACGTGCTGTGCTCCCGCCAGAAATGACTCCTTGACTCTTTTCCTACTCAGACTATCCCTCTGAGTTCCTCTTAGGTCACCTGTCCCCATCTCAGGTTCACTCTTCATGCTGCCTCTGGCATAAATGCCGCACACTCTGCATATCTGTTTGGTTCCCCTCTGATGTCTGTCTTTTTACTGTCTCTTGTATCCATCCCTGCTCCTTTCCTGCTGCTGCAGGGCAAAGCCAATGCATGTCGCATCCTTGTTGCCTCCACTCTTGCCGTGTGGCCAGTGTCTAGCCTAGGTACGTCCCTGGTGCATTCACTGGAGGGCTGGAAGAGTGAACTGCGCGCCCACCTCCTGTCCCACAGACAGGAACCCTGGAGGGGAAGTTGCTTGGGGAGAAGTGGCAGCGTGTGTTCGTCTGTGAGGACGGGAAGGCCTGGCACCTTGGGAGGGGTCTTCTTCACATTCACAGTCACAGGGCCCAAAGCAGGCAGGAAAACAGAGCCACACTGGGCATTGCTGTCCTCTCTGTCCTCCCTTGCTTGTGTGGGGCTTCTAGCCTGATCTGGCCAGCTGGGCTTCAGGTGTTCTTACTCCTGCTATTGTTTTCTGCAATACCACTGTACCATGGGCTTCTTTTTATTTAACCAGTCCACAGATATTTCTGGAGTTAGTGTTTGAAGGGAGGCAGGATAGAAAAAATAAAGATAAGTAGGAAAGAGACAGGGAAAATTATAATTTTTAAATTGTACATTCCAGCCTGGTGTGGTGCAACACACCTGTAGTGCCATCACTCTGGGAGGCTGAGACAGGAAGATCACAAGTTCAAACCCAGTCTAAGCAATTTACCAACTTAGTGAGACCTTATTTCAAAATAAAAAATAAAATTACAAAAAGGGCTGGGGATGTAGCCTAATGAGAAAACTCTGGTTCAATCCTCAGCATAACAAAAATTTAATTATTTTTTTTTCAGCAGATATCGACAAAATTTTATTTATAAAATTGTTCAAACACAAGAAAATTCTAGTTCCTTTTCTATGAACTATCAAAAGTTGGGGATAGAATGCTCTTTCATCTAAAAAAAAAAAATCAGGTTTTGGATGACGGTTTTTCAACATAAAATAAAGACAAAATCAAGTTGAAATACATGAAACACTTTTCTAGTCCATATATACTTGGATAATCTTGTAATAAGTTTCTTCAGCAACTGACAATGTTGAAAGAAAATCTGTATTGGGGTAGTGTTTTAAGAAGTCATTAGCAGCAGTGATAGCTGCATTAGCAATACTTCCAGAATATATAAAATCCCAAAGCTATTGCCAAGCAAGTAAACACTGAGGCTGCAAGATAATGAATTGTCTCAAGTTTGTTAGACTCCATCCATGTTTTTAAGGAAGCAATTTCAGTGTCAATTTTATTACTGGTCTCTGAAATAATACTTTTGGCTTGGGTATCCTTTCTGGTAAACTCTGTGGTTGCTTCCAGAAGTTGCTTTTCTTGATCTGTAAACATATATATTACTCTGCTTTCGAGGTTGACGTCCAGTTTATTATCTGCTCTGATTCAGCTGGTTTCAGATTTGCAAATTCACTTTTTTCTAGGATGACCTTATCTTTCCTGATAGAATCCAAAGGAGCCATTAGCTGTTGAACTGTTATTTCCTGTTGGCGCCTGAGTGACAATCTCCTTATAGATATTATCCAGGATACATTACATAAAGTGGTTAATGCTGATACAATTGTTTCCACTTGTGCTTTGTCAAATCCATGAGTTTCTAAATCCCGAACCAATGCCTGGGTATCAAAAGTTAATTTCCTTTGTTCTAAAGGAGTTATGTCCACTGGCCTCCCATCATATCCTTCCTTGCTTGTGGTGGTCAAGAAATTTCTCCACAGGGCCGGCGAGAAACGCCCGCCCGGAGTTGAAACCCAGCGGCACCCGCTGCCATCAGAGCACGAGAGGCTCCAAGCCCAGCGACACCTCCTGTTCTCAGCTTTCCGGGGGGCAGGAAGCGGAAGGGCTAATTATTTTTTTTTAAGCCATTTTAAGGGGGCCGGGGATTTAGCCCAGTGGTTTCGCCGCCTGCTGCGCAAGAGCAAGAACCCGAGTTCGTTCCCCGGTACCAAAAAAAAAAGGTTTTTTTAAGAAAAAGTACAACTGCAGGACAGAGTTCGACTTTTTCCCTTCCAGGAAACCTGCTCCTAAACAAACCCCGAGGGGCCCTAAAGAGTCAGGCTCCTGTGAGTGGGCGGAGCCTCTAACAATGGGTCTCTTTCTCTAGAGCCTGCACGCTATTCTCCCTGAGTGTGTACTGTTTTTATTCTGGCAAACTCTTCTCACGCCTCTTATGATGCATCCTGAAAATTCTTTTTCTGTGATAGGAGTTGGCGAAACTACTACCTACCCCTGGGTGGGGTGAATTGAAGTCCCCACCTTCTCTTTAGGGGACCTTTGGGACTTGTCTTAGTTACATTTCTTGTTGCTGAGACAAAATACCGAACACCCAAAGTTAATAAGGGAAAGGTTTTCTCAGCCCACAGTTTATAGAGGCTTCAGTCCATAATTGACTGGCTCCAAGACAGGGTGCAACATGGCAGAGGGGCAACAGTTCATGGCCCACTGAAGGTAGCAAAGCAACAAGGGACAAGACAAGCCTCCATCTGTCCCTTATATTGTATGCAGGCTACTCACCCTAGGGCAGGTGTAGCACTCACACCTTTAATCCTGTCAGGCTTGACCTGGTCAAGAAATGGTTAATGAATATGCTCTTTAATTCCAAGCTACAGTTGACAAGATACAAAAATCCACAACAAAACAGGCAACTGAAGCAGGTGCTGTCTCCGTCTCACAAAAGCCATGCTATCTTGGAGCAGACAGAACACAGACTACAGGATGAGATGTTCCCAACAAAGAGAACTACAAAGAACAGCATCTTTTCAATGCCAAGTCACCAGAATATATCTATATCGATATATATATATATATATATATATATATATATATATATCTGTCTTGATCACTACATGGACACTGACCACCAATATTTTCTCTGACCCCTATAAGTGATAAATGTGCCAGACTTCTCTTCCAATACCCTATAAAGCTTCTTGTTTTTTGTTTGTTCTGTGCCGATGACCTTTTGCTTGTGGTCAGTCTGCCTCTCCCTAGGTGAATAAAGTCTGTACCTCTTTGCTTTCACTAGCCTGCTCAGGTGATCTCATCCCTCTGTGCCATTTGTTACAAATGCTAGCCAGAAAACTGTGCCAAACCAATCAGTGGACTGATTTAGTAGTCACAACCCTTGATCCCAGCACCACGCACTCCAGATCCTGCTGCCTCTGAAAAGCTCTCCCTCATGACTCCATGAGGCTTTGGGGAACATTTAGACACAAAGCATAACAGGAGTCATTATGGTTTAGACCTAAATGTTCCCCCAAAGTCTTGCGTGTTCAGAGGTGGGGAGCTTTCAGAAGGTGATTGGATCGTAAGGGTGCTATCACTGGATCAATCCATGGGTGAGTTCTAGCTGAACATGCTGTGAGGAGGTGGGGTCCAGTTGGAGGAGGCAGTCACTGGGGAGCAGCCTTTGGAGGGCACATTTCATGCTCTACCCCTCTCCCCTCTTTCTGCTTCCTGGGTGTCATAGGTTGAGCAGGTCTCCTCCCCTAGCCTCTCTGCCATGCCATTTCTGCCTTGGAGCCAGCTGTTGACTGAACTCCCTGAAACTGTGAGCCATAACCCTTTCCTTTATGTTGTGGGTATCAGGTATGTTGAGGTCCAGAATTTTTTCCACAAGAGATAGAAGGAGCCAAGAATGGCCAGGAAATGCTTAGCATAGAAATTACCCCATTTTTCATTGCATTCCTTTCCTCTCTCCTTACCAATAAAAGCCCTTGTACACCTGAATAAGATAAGACAAATATTTTGTGCAAGCATAAGGACCCGAGTTCGATCTCCAGTATCAAAAAAAAAAAAGATAAGACAAAGATTTGAGGCAAAACGGTTCTAGTTCCTTTCAGAGGTAGCTTGAATAACCCTTTTCTCTTTCCCACCAAATTGCCTCCCATGTCTTTTGGAGTAACAGGCAGTACAGACCTTAATGCCCCGCTGTCGGGAGCGATACTACATAATTTTAGGGAAAAATCATTTGATTAGCCCTGGTTCTCCTGCCTACAGGCCAGCTATGGCATTCCTAGACATAATTCCATTTTGGCTCCCGGTCCCAATGAAACCTCAATGATCCATCCGGTGATGCTATGATGCTCCAGGACAAGATTACACCAGCTGAAGACATCCTGGGAGGAACAAAATCTTCATCTACTCAGTTTCTCATTGTTCTTGTATTGTTACACTTTGTTTATCCTGATGTACTGAACTCTCTGCAAGTCATCTGTTACATCTGTTTCTCCCTATGTACTGAATAAAAGGTGAGGTAAGCTGAGGGCTTTTCTCTTTTGCTGCCCAGAGCAGCACTGATCAGACCCAAAGCTCAGCTTCTTCTCAAAGTCTCATTTTTCTACCTTTTCTGTATAATAAGTTAATTCGCCTTGTGCTGCCAAGGCTCACAGGAGACTAGGACTTACTGCAGAGGTTCTAGTAACGTCCCTTTTCCCTGTTCCGTACACCCTGCAACAGCATTTCAAGCCATAAGGCTGGGTGAAATGACCAAGGAGTGAGTATGGACAGAGAAAAGAGGCAATGATAAGAAAGTGGTAAACCAGAAGAACCCTCCGAGGCCACAGACCTCTGGAAGCCACACTAAAGAAGAGAGGAGAGATGTGGAGGAATCACAGAAATCTCTCATGGCCTCCTCCATAAGGATTGTTTTAAAACTGCTTTTTGTTCACCGCTCTTTCCAACAGGTGCAGGTATTTAGAAAATACTTGCTGAGTTAAGAGAGCGTGCGACTGAATCCACACCTGTCAAACACCCAGGACAGAGGCAGCAACATTGGGTTCCTTTACACAAAAAGCAGTGGCTGAGCAGGAGGCTCATGGCCCTTGGTTTCCCTGTGTGAATATTCAAGCAGGTTCGGGAGCCCGTCCAGTCAACACTGGCCCAGACAAATGAGCTTTAGATGAATCTTGTGGTATGGAGCCTGGTGACCCTGGGTGAGGTACTAGGTCACCCACGGGTACACAGAGGACTCTGCAGCCACCCTATCTCCTCACTGTGTGCTGATCCACAGCACTCGATGTCCACTGTCTACACACTATTCCTGTCTACGGTCTTGCAGCCCCAGCCCCTCTTCCATGCATCGCAGATACTCTTCACATCCAGTCCATTCCATCTCTCTGCTAGGATGGCCAACTTTTCAGTGCACTGGAAATTGTCTTGGGGTTTGCCCTGTAGTTCCAGCACCCTGGGAAGCGCCAGAGTACTGGGCAAGCCAGAACGACTGGTTTACCCATCTATGTTCCAGGCATCCTACAGTCGACCTTTTGACCCACACAGTCCATCTGTCACTCCACCCAAACATCTGAGCCCCTAGATCCCACATGGCTCCGCCCCCTCCTGACCCCGCCCAATCGCTGCCCATTCCGGAAGTCGCCACAGCGAATCGCGGCGCCCTAGCAACAGCGCGTTTCGGGAAGCCCAGTCCGCTTGCGCAGCGTCCAGTGCGAGCCAATAGTGAGGGGCCCCAAGAGCGAGGCGTAGGGGCGGGGCTCGCGGCGGACACCGCCATTTTGGTGGAAGAGAAACAATAGAACTGAAAGCGGTGCGACCGGGCGGTGGCTGCAGGTAACGCCCGCTTGGCCGTGCCCATGGTCCTCGTCCGCGACCTCTAGGGAAGGGGCTGTGGGCATCTGGGGGCAAGGTTCCTGGCCATGCGAGGTTTCCCCAGGTTGTCCGGAGAGAGGTTCTCTTGCTGTCATTGTAGCAGGGAGCTCTCCCGGGTCTTTGTGGAGCCATCTTTCCCCTGGCCATTGAAGAGGAGCGTTAAATATGAAAAGCTGGGAGGAATGTCCCCGTTGTGGGGGAGGGCAGCTTCCCAGCTCCGTGACGGGGTCTTCTGCAGTGGGGGGCAGTGTCTTTCCTGGGTTTGAAGAGGTGTTCACGCGTTTGGGTAGACAAGACCTGCCTCGTCCTGGAGGGGTCCGCGAGGTCCTGGTGTCGAGGATGGAGTCTCTCCGCTCGGGGGGGGGGCGGGGGGGCCCAGCCTGTTGCCTCAGGTGCAGGTATCTAGGCCCACAGGCCTCAGCCATTTTGGGCGTTGAATGTCGGGCCATCAGTTCGTATTGGATGGCGGAGTAATTTCATGTCATTTTTAAAAACGTCTTAAAGTGGGTCAGAAGAAGCTTTAATTATACAGCTGTTTGCACCATGAGTGGAGCTTTGATTTCCTTCACATTTGAGTAAGACTACTTTTGTCTTTTGCATTCTAGCTTTTTTTTTTTTTTTTGCCTTGTAATGATTTGTTTCACGTTAAGATTTTATTCTGTCTCAAATATCAGTAAAGTTGTACTAGCAGAAAAATGAGTGAAGATAAAATGTAAAAGCCAGTAAAATCTTGTGCTCTTAAATACCAGGTGAAATAGAGCAAATCTCTGCTTGGAATTAAACAATTTGTTAATAACATGTACAAAGAAAAATAATAAGATCATCTGAAAGAATGGTTTTAAGAAAAAGTACTGAAACTTTTGAAATTAGCAAAAATATTGCAGATTGCAATTTTACAATTTTTAAAATAAAGTATGATTACAGTAATTTTGTTGTGTACTGCTATTTAAAATGTTTGCTATATGTATTTCCATTTTTAGCAGGATAACATTTTAAGTGAACTAGGATGCTTATTTACATTTGTTGTTGCCATAGGGTTTGTATAATTGCATCCTGTAACTTGGTATTAAGAGAAATTTCAGGGTGGTGGTGTGATAAAATGAGTACTTTATCATATTTGACATTAACAGGCCAGTTCATTGCCTAATAACTTTTTCTTTGGAAAAATGTCAGTTGAACTATTAAGTGTCATTCAGTTGGTTTACACGTAAAGTAGAACTCACAGGCATTGTGATAAATCAAGTGGATAAGAACTAGGACTTGAGTTAATGTAATTGTGGAAACCAGTTTAGCAGATGTAATAGACTTCTTTTGAGCTTTGAAATCGCTTAGGTGACAATACTATACCATCCTGCATTGATCAGTGTGAACAGTGGACTTGCCAGGAAGGAGCAGCTGCTGATTGATGAACCTTCTGTAAGCTCCAGAGACGTCACTTGTAGCTAGGCAACAGGGATGAGCTTGAGCCTCCCTGAGGCCAGCTTGCTGAGGTGAAAATTTTCCATTGTTTGCCTCATAGAGAGGATGCATTGGGGAAGAATTTGCCTTTAAAGTGAGGTTATTTTACATGATGAGATGTTTGTCTTCAGAAACACATTAAATCATTATTCCCACATGATTACACTTTGAGGTATATGTTTGTTTTTGAAATAATGTTTTTGTGTCTTTGGATAACATTTAATGCAAGTAACGAATAGTAGTAGCGTTTTACAGTATATTCTGATGGCAAGGAAATGGCCTTTTCCCCAAAAGTTGAATTTAGAGTTCACCTCAGAGTTTGAAGGAAAGACAGTTTGCCAAAATAATGCATAAGTTGGTTTGGATCTGTCACTCATCTCCAGCTTCAGAAGTTAAGCAATTTCTGGCCAATCTTGTTCCATGTATACTCTGCACTACCTTCCACCCCACCCACCAGCTACTGTTTTGCCTTTAACATATAAAAAAAGCAACACCAGAATTTTTAGGGAAGCATATCCAGAAATGTGTTACAGTGTGGTATTGGGGATCAGACCCAGGATTTTGCACAAATGGTGTACTCAGCTAATACTCCAGCCCCACAAAATGTTATTTTTTAAAAATTTAAAAAAATTTTTTTTGAGATAAGGTTTTGCTATGTAGCCCAAGCTGGCCTTTAGCTCTAAGTGATGCACCTGCCTCAGCTTCCTAGGTGCTGGGATTATAGACATATGTCATCATCCCCATCCCAAAATGTTATTCTATCATAAATATTTCAGTGTGAACGATATATGCATACCCATGTTTATAGCAGTACAGTTTATAATAGCTATATCTTGGAAACAGCCCAGATGCCCATCAACTGACAAATGGATAAAGAAGATGTCTTTTTTTGGTACTGGGGATTGAACTTGGGTCCTTGCGCTTGCACAGCGGGCGGCGAAACCACTGATCTAAATCCCCAGCCCAAAGATGTCTTTTTTTATACAAAGGAGTACTGCTACTCTGCCATAAAGAAGGATGAGCTTAAGACATTTATAACTAAATGGATGCAACTTGAGACTTTTTTTTTTTTACCAGGCAGGCAAGGTCCCACTAAGCTAAATCCCTGGCCCTCTTTTTGTTTTTTTGAGACAGTCTCCCTGTGTAGTTCAGGCTGGCCTCAAACTCATGGCGATCCTCCTGCTTCCACTTCCCAAGTGCTAGGGTTACAGGCATGCACCACCATGCCCAGCTTGAGACCATACTCTTCAGTGAAATAAATCAGACACGTGTTTAAATACAGCAGTGTTTCTCTGGTGTGAGAAACAAAGTAGAAATAAGGACTAAAATGTATAATAGATATTGGGAAATGGGAAGAAAATGTTCAAATGGTAAGGAAAACAAACGTGGTGGGAGGGAGAAGGGAAAGAGGGGACAAGAAAAAAAGTGTAAATAGAAGGAAAAATGGAAACAAAGCTTTTGTACATAGGGAGAGAAGGGGGGAATGGGAAAAAAGGTGGGGTGTATCATGTACAGGTACAAATTCCCTATGATGGGTTTTACTGTGTATGCCTAAAGTGTAGCAATAAATGTTTTGCTTAAAAAATATATATATATTTCAGTGTGTAATGCTAAAAGAAAAAAAAACTAACCATGAAGTCTACAGTACCATTATTCTGCCTTAAAAAGCATGATGATTCCTTAATTTTTACCCAATTGTCAGGTTTACTGAATAGTTTTTAACGGATGATGTGTACAAATCAGGATTCAGATAAGATCTGTGCATGGAATTTAATTAAAATAATTCTTGTGTCTTATACTTACATGTGCTTGCTCTATTTTTCTTGTAATTTACCTGTTAAAGCAACAGTCTGGGTTAGTTTCCCATATGCTGACATTTGCTGATCACTCTCTGCTTTGAGACCTTTTGGCTCTGGTGGCTGTTTTTATGGTACTGGGATTGAACCCAACCCAGGGCCTTTGTACTGAGCTATGTCTCCAGCCCGTTTAATTTATTGTGAGGTAGGGTCTTGCTGAAGTTAAGTTGGTCAGACTGGGCTCAAACTTGGAATCCTACCTCAGTCTCCCAGAGTGGTGGGATCACAGGTGTGTGCCACCAGGCTTGGCTGGTGTCTAGGTTTGGAGGGATGACTCATATTTATCTTTTTGGCAAAGAAGTTGAGAAGGAACTACCGAATCTTGTTCAAAAAATGAGCCCTATGTCAGGTGTGTTGGCACATTCCTGTAATCCTAGCTACTCAGAAGGCTGAGATGGGAAGATCACAAGTTAGAGAACCAGCCTGGGTAATCAAGCTGGTTCTGAAAACAAAAGCTCTGAACTCTGATGGCTGTTAGCAACTGGAAGGTCCATATAGTAGGAAACCGTCTCCTCTCTCTGTATCTTGTGGTCCAAAGGGTCTAAGGCAGTGATGGTGAACCTTTTAGAGCCTTAAATTATAACAAACAGCCCACTGTGTCACATGTACCAAAGGTTCACCACTGCTGTTCTGAGAGCTGCTACATTCTCCACGTGAAATTGGGAGGAAATTTGGACTCTTGACTTCTAGGAGGTAGATGTCCTACGCCTTGTGTTTTTTACAGGTCTGTTGTACCCTTTGCTCCTAAGAGGTTCACAGTTACAGAAGTCTTGACTCTTAGTAGGTAATTCCTAAATGTGTTTGCAGGTTAGAATCACTTCAGTTTCACATCCAGTGCTCCCACCTGTCTGAACATTTCTTTTTTTGTTTTGTTTTGTTTTTGGGGGGGGGGTTACGGGATTGAACTCAGGACCTTGAACTTGCGAGGCAGGCACCAGAACCACTGAGCTAAATCCTGGCCCCTGTCTGAACATTTCTTCTTGACTGCTTGACCACACCTTTATATTTGCGTCTGGAACTCAAGTTAGTATTTTCTCAGTTATTCTGACTTAGTGAATAAAACGAATTTGTTCTAATTTATGAACGTCCAGTATCTGTCTCATCCTTCTAATTTGATCCCCTATGTCAGCATTTCCCAAGATAGTATCCATGGTTGCTACTTCCCAGATTACATACAGAGTTCCGTGGTGGGGTGTGTTTTTCAGGAGAGAGGCCCACAGTGTCTCAGAGTCTCTAGGTTATCCCCCTGCCCCCCATTAGGCACAGTGTGACACTTAGCAAGCTTCTTAGTGCCCTCCCTTCTTCCTTAATTTCTTTGTGGCAGGGCCAGAAGCTCTGTGGGTATAGGGGAGAAGGCAGGGTTCCCTGTGCCCTGCCAAATGTGTCATGGAATAGGAGAGTTTACCTTAAAGAGGTTGTGCCATGTGGGACACTTGTCTGGAAACAGCAGCCCTTTTACCTTGGGACCCCCAGAACCTGAGGATTGTCCGCCCCCAACCCCCAAGAGACCCATGAGAAGGAAGCCCAGGCTGGGAAATGATGGACAGGTATTAATTTGGTCTTAGTCATTTTGGCCTCCTGGGGGTTGCAGCTGTGGCAAGGATGTTCCTGCTCTCTTCTCCTTCCTCTGCTTTTGGTTTTTACATC